TCGACGGCACTTAACAACAACAACAATACTGGGGATATATGTAGACCACTATTGCCTTTTTGGACTCCTGGTGTGGTGCTGTAGGATCAGCATGGAAACGCAAACCACAAGGTCACCCGTTCAAAACCACCAGCTTTTCCTTGGAAACCCTATACAGGATTACTATGAGTCAGAATGGACTCAATGGCATTTATCAGAAACACCATACTAGGTAGTTTCATTTTTTACGTGTGTGTATAGGTATATAAATGGAAAACTGTATAAAGCTATAAACTCTCTAACATTTAAGTGAACGATTTATTTATTTATATTATTTATATGAATATTCAGAAATATTCATGTAATGTTCTCATAGTTTAGTTCAAAAGTCTATTTTCATTTGGGATAATAAGTGAAACCTGAAGACTGCATACACTAGATGGTTGATCGAGTATCTTCCCTGATTTCATGTAAATAAACCTTGTCCTGATTAATCACATGGCACTTTGTCATCCCATCTTAACCTGCAGACTCTTCCACTTTTTTGGGATTATGCAGGTTTACGGAACTGTCTTTCACATAAACCAAGGAAACCCTTTCAAGCTAAAGACCCTAGTGGACAAGTGGCCAGATTTCAATGCAGTTGTTATCCGCCCTGAGGAACAGGTAAGGTATCAGATATAGAATGAGTATTTTTTTATATTCCTATCTCTGTGAGTTTATTTTGTGCCTGGCAATTTGGTAAACCCTGAGACTATGGGAATGAATCCAAGTGATGGGGAACAAGTTCATTATTCGACATGAGATAAGTCTATTACAAAAGAACAAGTATTATATGAGTTCACTATTATAAAAAATTAAAAGATTTTCCCACAAAAAGAAACATTCTTTTATGGTTACCAGGGGTGTGAGAGGAAAGGAGAGTAAATCACTAACTAAAGGGTATACATACATTAAATTGAGTGAATGGGAAGGCAATATATAAGAGGGAGGTCAGCAAAAAAATATGACATAAACAAAGAAGGACACTGGGAGAAGTCCAAGAGTTAAAGACAACAGAGGTAAATTACAGACACAATCCTGCAATAGCAACAATCTACAAGAGAAATAGAAAGATGTGCAAGCTGAACAGTTGTGGTGAAACAAATGGGACTACACCTATGAGTATATATACGAGGGTGAGTCAAAAATTACCTGCCCTTTGACTACAAAATTTATTATAAAAAAAGATAAAGATGTCATTTTTTGATACAATCTCCTTGCTTTTCAATACAGTTTGTCCATTTATCAACAAGTTTTTGCATTGCCTTATTTTTAAAATGTTTTAGGCTGAGCTTCAAGCCATGAATGCACTGCTGGCTTCACTTCTTCACTTCTTCATCAGGGGTAAATCTTTGTTTTCGAAGGGTTGCTTTCAAGGGACCAAACAGGGGAAAGTCTGATGGAGAAAGATCAGGACTATAGGGAGGATGCTTTAATACCTCAAAGCCAGATCACAACATCCTTGGATAGCAGTTCGCTGCATCTAATCTGAAGTTTAGGTTTCAGTCGTTCAGTGGACATCTCACTGTAACAAACACTGTGAATTGTTTAACTTTTTCCTGATAATGTTCCAATACTGGCCTTTGGGAATCCTAGGAAACTGTAAGCATCAGTTTTCCAGCTGTTGATTGAATTTTGAACTTTTTCTTGGTTGACGACTGAGGATGTTTCCATTCTATACTCTGCCATTTACTCTCAGGCTTGTAGTGATGAATCCATCACCAGTATTAATGTTTTTAAAGAAACTTTTATCCTCCTTCAAGTATCAGTCCAAATTTGTTAACAAGATGTCCAAACACTTCTGTTTATGCTCTTCCATGAGGTGTTTTGGTATCCATCTTGCACAAACTTTTTTTTTTTTTTTT